AGGAAATCACAATTTCATCACCAGAGCAAAGCTCGACATCCATCGCCCTATATAGCCGGCTCTACAGTAACAGGGTTCCATCCCTGCATGCTCCCTAATCCCACACCGTCAGCTGTGATGCTGAGCTGATCCAGATAACATTCAGGTCAAGTCCAAGTTACTGTTACAGCGCGTTTCTGTGCAGAAGGATGCAGGAGTTGAGGATGCCTCTTCATCCCAAATGACAGCTCCAAATAATCCGAAAATATTTACCATCATGGCAGCAACAACAGCTCGGTCAGATCTGGTTACCTCTTATCTTGTCAATGTCAAAAAGACACATTTTTTTTGTTTGTTTTCTTTTTAAGCTCMCAATAAAGGTGAAAGCAACCGATCAGATCCGAGGGGAAGCAGCGAGGTGATGAGAGTTTGGGGAGGGAATAAAAGGCATGACAGGAAGAACGAGTTAAAAAAGGTCGCGTGCAGGCTGTTAATATAACATGAAATGTTTGTCAGCGCTTCTTGCTGAGCCGACACCGAAGCGGGTCCGCCTCCCTTCTACACCACAAACCTTTCAGATTAAAAAAAAAAAGCTTTACGAGACACCGCGGGGCAAAACATGTTAGAGAGCAGGAATTTCAAATGACAAGAAAACGAGGTTTGCAACAAACCCTACCTGATGGCTCGCGCTCCTAAACGCATGCGAGCGGACCTGGATGGATGTAGGCGAGGCGACACACACACACACTCACACACACTCACACACACATCCACACACCATACACCACAAGCGGGTCAAACACAGCTTCCCTGCCTGCCTCCTTCACGGCATCAAGCCCCTCCTCGTTGGTCGTACAGTGTGGGGGGGAGAGAGATGGAGGGGAGGGGGGTTAAAAGAAAAGGTGGGGGGATAGGAGCCCATATCTGCGCGACGCAAAAAAGGGAAACAGCGTCACTCCCACCGAGAGTCCCTTTTTAATACATGTGAAAGATCAGCGTAGATTCAGGCGCTGATTCAGCCCCTAAAGATGAGACTGACCTCATAGTGCTCAAATGACTGATTTCTATTTTTATATCTAAAAATTGTATGCCTAATTTAATTTAATATGATATTATAGAATTTGTGCAGTGAAAGTGCGCCTTGTAAAAAAAAAAAAAAAAGAAAGGGAAAGAAAAAGCGTGTATACCAACCAGGAGTGCAGGA